TTCCCTCCCTCACACACTGGCTTTTCCCTTTGTTTTTTATTCCTTCTTGGCTGAGCAGCCCCTTTATTTTCTTCTGAAGGTTTATGGCTGTCCCACCCTGTCACTTTATTGTGTTTTGACGCTGACTGACTCAGCCCAGGAACTTCAGGGAAGTGACAAGATCATCTCTTTAACTTAAACTTCTGAAAATGGCACACAAGAGGCTTTTAAAAGTTCCAGAATAAACAAAATATTTGATTCAACATAGAGGGGAAAAGATCAGGTGAAATCAGGGGTAAAATGTCTGAGGTGAATCAAATATAACTCTGAGGTAACTTGGTATAATCACAAACTCCTGTTCGTATGTTTCCAGCATGTGAGAGTTTAAAGCTTTACACAAAGTCTTAGAATGTTCGAGAGGCTTTTGTTTCAGTGTTTTCTTAACACTCCAGTATGCTTTCTTGAGTTTATCTGATTCTTCAGGTTTTGGAAGGCAGGGATACATCACCAAGTACCTAAATTCCTTCTCTAAACATACCAGGGATCAATCTACTCTTCAGAGCTATCTCCCTTATCAACTGGGCAGGGGATTTCTTTTCTCTAACTAGAAGATCTATTCCTTTTTTTGGCCCAAATGGGGGTATTCACCAATCCTCCCACGCCTTCTTGCCAACCTTCTTAGTCCACAGTCAGTGTTAAACTGAATTCTCCTCAGCAGTCAGTTCCCAAGTCCTTCTGCTCAATTGATGCTAACCAATCAAATCCCTTTGAGCAGCCTGTCATTCAGAGGCTCTCTGGCTCTGTGAGGCATTAACCATTCATAGTCCATCACAGATTTATACAGCACTTATGAGCTTTTAAAGCACCGTCCATCACATTTGTCCATTCTTTTAATGGGAGGGGGACCTGAGGGAGAGATCAGAATGATTAAAAGGATAGAATTGAACTGGAAATGGCTGTTGCAAGTACGAGTTGTAATGGTATTTATTGTACTCTGGATGCAGGAGCAAATAAACCTCTATTATCTTGAATGTTGGTGAATAGATGCCTACACCTAGTATGTATTATATGCCTATTTTCTCTTTCTGTCATCTCCTTAAGCTCAGTCATTCAACCCATGAACAGAAGGAAGTTGCAGATCTTTCCCATCTCCCCCAACAAGCTCCTGAGATGGGGAAAAACCTGATACTTGGCATCACAGGAGCCCCTTAAGCAAATTGCCAAGAAATACTATTGTGAAGAAGGGAAATGGAGTAAAGTCGTTCCTATTTCTCTTCTGTGCTTATAGAGCATCAATGGAAACTGCTAGTTAACGAGAAAGGAGGGGCAACATCACCTCATTTCCTGTCTTTATAGCAGCTGCCCCATGACATTTTTTACAGGACTCCCATGACTGAATTACATCTTTTTGTGCATCTTGTGAGGCTGGTAGTGGTAGGGGGATGTGTGAAAGACACACATCTACCCTTGATTCTGAAGTTTGTAGGGGGGTGGGTAAGTGTCTAATGCGTACCCAAATGAGTGGTATCAAGGCACAATTTATGGTTGCTACTGAACCCACTGCCCTGACCTGGATGGCCCAGGGTATCCTGATCTCATCAGATCTTGGTAGCTAAGCAGGGTCAGCCCTTGAATTTGGAGTACTTGGAAGGGAGACCACCAGGATTGGTACTCAGAGGCAGGTAATGGCCAGCCACCTCTGAGTGTCTCTTGCTTTGAAAAACCATGGTGGGATCTCTATAAGTCAGCTGCAACTTGATGGCACTTTCCTTCACCGCCAGTGAACCCACTTTTCCCCAACATTTCTCTAGCATATAGAATACTTGAAGCGAGGAGTGCTTGACATCATTCACTATATGCCAGGCTTTGGAAACTTGTAGAAGATAATGGGTTGTAAGTTCAGCAAGAGACATTCTTGCTGCTTTTGGATATATCCTAGTCTAAAGAGAAGCTGGGCACTCTCATTCTTTGTAAACTCAGAAAAGGGTGAGGTCCCTCTGCCTCATCTGTCATCAAGAAAAGCTTCCCCACCTCTGAATTCTCTCTGATGCCTAGATGACTTCATGGGAAGGAATATCTTACTATATGTTAGGCAGTATGTTGTGCTTCTTCTTACTGGACAGCTGTACACCTGGATCTCTTTCCAGTATAGTGCCACTACCCATTTTGCATTTATTTGTTTGTGAAGTGATGTGAGCACCAAAGTTTGCTCCGTCTTTGTTTATCCCATATCGCCATAGATCACTTTTTGCCAGTACATTTATTAGTTAAAGATTGTGCAAGTTGTCCAGAAATTAAACATTACTGATAAGAAAGCATGATTACTGGACTTTGGAATAAAGTTTTTAATGCCTGAATGATACCTTGGTCATTGCCTTCTAAAACTGCCCAAAATAATCTGGCCTGCAAAGCTATGTTTGTGAGCTCAGAAGTTAAAATTGGATGAACTGTCCATTATTTTTGGGATGCCAACTTCCTTTTAAATTGTAATGTAAAATAAATACAAAATGCAATATAACGTATCAGTGTTGTACACTGATGAACATTCCTACCAATATTAGTGAATGCTTGCTGTCTATTAATGGGTAGCATCTGTGTGTCTGATTTCGGTAAAAGCTTATTAGTTTTGTATGAACCACTAATAATCATATTTTTCTCAACCGCTACTTCAGCTTATGCAACAACCTTGCTGACTGCTGTCTATACCTGTATGAGGATAGTAATTTCCTATCATACCCATATTTAAAATTTTTAAGTATGTTTTGATCTTGAGTAAAGGATACTTAGGAGCTGCGGTGGCTCAAGTGGTTAAGACGCTGAACTGCAGGCTGTGGAAGGTCAGTAGTTCAGCACTTCGAGACCTGAGTGCTGCATGATGGAGTGAGCTCCCATCTCTAGTTCCAGCTCCTGCCAACCTAGCAGTTCGAAAGCAAGAAATTGCAAGTAGATAAATAGGTACCACTTTGGTGGGAAGGTAACAGCGTTCCGTGCGCCTTGGTGTTTAGTCATGCTGGCCACATGACCACGGAAACGTCTTCGGTCAGCGCTGGCTCTTCGGCTTTGAAACGGAGATGAGCACCGCAACCCTAGAGTCGGACTCGACTGGCTTTCGAGCAAGGGAACCTTTACCTTTACCTTTAAAGGATACTTGGTTACTTCCTATGTGTTCACTGTTTAAATTCAGGGTGTATTTGATTCATGGGCAGTTATACCATATGGTGGAGAGACTTTTCCTGATCACATTTTTCATCATCTTGAATGCTATATTTTAATTAAGGATGTTTCAGGCATTACTATGTCATAATGGGCTGAGAACTCCCAGTTCAAAGGGTGGTCTGAAAACAAGTTGTGATAATTCAGTCTAAATTCCGGTTATTAAGTCTGTAATGATATTGGTCTACTTTATAGCATGATAGCAAGGATTACTGCATTAATGTATATGAAGCATTTTAGTTTATAAACTGTAACCTTCATTCAGGGGTGGACTGGCCCTTAAATTTACTGGGAAAGTTCCTGGTAAACTGTTAATTTGGGGCCAGAAGCAAGCTAAATTGAGTGGCCCATGGTGTGTTGATGGTAGAGATGTGAAAGCCCATCTCCCAGTTTTTCCTGAGGTTTTTCTTTTAGTTTTTCAAACAGAAAAATTGGAAATATGGGGGGAGTATTGAAAAAAACCAAATCCTCATATGAAATATTTTCTCTTTTGGAGTGTGTGAAAAAGACAGGTTGGGCATGCTGTAGACATACACAGCTCTTAAATCCAAGGTGAATTTCTGCACCTAGAAGGATACTAATCTTCATGAGGGGAGCATGCAGAGTTTATACTGCTTTTCATCTGTTGTATGCCTTCTGCTGTCCTTTTGACCTGAGTCTTCCTTTGTGGATGACCTGTTCGCCTCTCCCTCAAACCACTGTGGCACACATACCCACAAATGAGTGACAAATGGCTTTTTTACCCTAACTTGCTGGAGTGGAAAAAAGATCAGAAGGAGGTAGGGCAGAAACTGTACCAAAGCCTCAGAGGAAAATTCTGAAAGTTTCATTGAGAACTGAGCCAAAGAAGGAAGAAGAAAGCATCTAGTTGGAACTAAATCCAGCTGTGCAGATATTATTATTGACCCTCTGTGTGACCCTTTTTCTGACCAAATTATTTCTAATATTATTTACCATGAAGCTTGTGTTTTCCATTTTACTCCTCTATTTTTTTTCTACTTCTCAGAAACCAAAAATTAAGGTAATAAGGTAGCATTGGATGCATCAATTTAAAGTTTCCTCTCAAGTGTTGAGTATGCTGGCAACTTGTGTAAAATGGAGGCATTTACATTATGTAAATATGTCAAATATTGCAATTCTATATGCTAAGTTAGTTACGTTGTTTTATGTTGTTAAAGCAGTAAAATTAGTTTAGGTTAGGTAAGACAGTAAGTATAGCATGTGTTTCAATTTCCCCCCAAATTTCCATTTTTTTCTGAGAAAAAAAAAAGCCTTGAAAAAGAAGTTTGTTTTTGTGGCTTTAAAACCTCCAGAAATTTTACATCTCTAACTGTTCAGATTGTGGGGTAATCCAGTGGATAGCCATATTAGTCTGTAGTCATAGTAGAAAATTTTTGTTCAAGTATTCAAATATTGAAAAAAGGAAAATACTGTAAATATTTAAGTAGCACTGGGACTCTGTGACACAAACTCAAAATGTTAGCAAAATTGTTAGCAAAATTTCATAACTTTACCATAATATGAGAATCAGTGTTTCTGCAAATGGCCAGAATAATAGTGATCATCACTGGTTCTTTGCCGTCCCCTAATATGTGAGGGGAACATGTTTTTTATTTGAATGGCTGGGTCATAGAGAAATATCATAGATTTGAGTGGACAGTGTTAATGGGAAGTGTTGCTTTTGTCTTTTTCACTACTTAGATACAGGGTGGCAAGCTATTTGATCTCACTGGAGCTAAATTCTGCAGAACTGAGCCCTTAGTACCTCAGCATAATTTACTAGGGTTTTTCTCTTTCTGGATTTACAGAGATATGAAAAATGCTGTAATTGGAAACAACAAACAAAAAGCCAACTTGATTGTTTTGGGAGCAGTTCCAAGGTATGTCCTCTACTACTCTCCTTTTCACTAACTCACAGTAGGTGTGAAGCGCAAGCTTTTGAAATTCTGGCACTTTAGTTTAACTGTTGACTCTGCCTTGACTCTGCCTTGTTTTGACTGTAACTTAGTATATCTAGCTCTTATTGAAGTAATTGTGTAGATAGATGCTTCAAAAAGTGGATTTTTTTTAAAACTTCTGTTTGTATATGTATGTCTCCAGTGCTAAAATATGCATTATTAGCAAAGCCTGTAAGAAACTTTTCAATTAGAAACCACTATAGGCATTTTTTTGCATTTTGATTGCATAGAACTATGAATACAAGAAAGGAACAAAGCAAAACAAATAGCAGCATGCAGAAGAAGTCAAATTCACAAGCTTCATTTTGGACTGCAAAGCTATTGTCTTTTATAGATGGTAGGCATCAGGATTACTTATAACCCTGATTAAACATAAGGATTACACAGCCTGCTAACTGTAAAATGGATGTAATCCAAAGTGAATAGTTTGTTTAAAGTTGAATGTTCTGTCCTCATGTTGTATATGGTGAGAGAATAAGGAACAAGTCTGCTTTCCCAACATCACTGTGGCACCAACAGTACAACAGACTAGGTGTATTCCAGTTTGTCTAACTGATAGCAGTATACCTATAGTGGTATACCTATAGTGTATTAGACTAAGCTTGTCTAGTATACCTACTGGTTAGTAGGTATAAGACTGCTTCTGAAACATCATTTTCATGACAAAGGTGCATATGTTTTTTGATGTGAGCATCTGTGTTGCATTTACAAATGAAGATCAGCATACACCTTCTCCAGAAAAGATGCATATTTTCTGGACCATTTCCAGAATTCTGCCAAGTACTGCTGGCAGTGTATTTCCGCCTGCAAAACAGACTTCTTGTCTGGAAAAAAGTTTACCATAGCTCTTGCACAAGAAAAAAAATCTCTGAAAGTAGTCCTTATAAATGTATTACAGCATTCCTTTAATGCCCACCACTTGCAGAAGCTTTGCTTTATGGATCTACTTAATTCTTACTCAAGAAGTCTGTTAGTGAAATTTTTCAAAACAGATTTCAAGTTAATTTACTAACACCATCTAATGTGGTGTAGGTTTAATCTACTAATAAGATAAAGAATGGCACTGCTTGTGTTGTTGGTCTGTAATAGGCCAAAGGAATTTGTACTGTGATGCTGATGGCTTTGTGTTAATATAATTGTGAGGCAAAGCACCCCTGATTCCTCCCAAGGGTTAAAGTGAATACTAACAGGCCTATTCCATCTTGCAGGTGTTAGTGTTTGGGCCTCTCTGCCTGCATGGCTCTTATCTTCAAGGCCAGAGTCAGGAATGTGATAATTAGCTGTTCTTGGGAACCTGTGGTCCACAGGATGGGAGGGGGGAAGCAGGAGTGATGGCATAACCTTCTAGAGGTTTCCAGCTAGAAGGTGTCCTGATTGGATTGTCACCATCACCTGACATCAGTTGGCTTGAAACTGTAATTGGATTAAGAGCCAGAGAGAGAAAAAGCCCGAATTGGTGATTCTGGTGAACGGAGGCCTGGATTATGATGTGCTCACATTGCCATGGACAGCTATGTAGAGACTGCTTAAGCCATGGCCTCTGATTTTTTTTGGGACTTTAAGATTGTGCCATCTAATGCAAAGTATAGATATGTTAGATAGAAAAGTTGGCTTTTCTTGTTTTTCTCTGCTGCAAGGATTTTTAGAGTGTTTGTGTCGCCTAGAAACAAAACTATTTCTGAAAAGTGTTTAATAAACTTCATATATATTTTTCAAGGGACGTTTTTCTTGTATACACTAGCCCTGGGAACCCCTGGGGTTCAGGCTTGGACTCCTTGACAGTAATGTTTATTCTTTTTCTGGTAGAGTGGTCACCCTAGAGGAGTGTAAGCTCTGTAGTTACAACCAGAGCTGTGATGCTATTGATGGGTTTTTGTAACTTTTCAAACGCCTTACTAATGAGTATTGCTGGTCAGGAATTGCTTTTTTATTTGTTTTTATTTAACTTTAGTGAGAGTCATGAGAATTATAACCCCTGAAAACAGAATGGAGATGAAATAAAGATGGGCATTATCTCGGTATATTTCATTTGTGACATATAAATGCCATTTGGATAATACAGTGTCAATGTATTTTGAGGACTGCCACTCTTGGGTCAGCAATGGAATGACCTGGAATACTAAAGATTTCTCCCACTGGTTATTTAGTGTTATGGGGTTTTTTAATGTCAGGTTTATGTCCATTTATTCTTTCATATAGGGACTGACCTGTTTTATATAGAGTGTGGAAGAGCATTGCTGACATTGCTGGAGGTAGGTAGATATGTTTGACGATCCATACGTTTCTGATATAAAGAAGTTTTTATGATTCCATTTTGTATTTGTACAGTGTCTAGAAAATGTACTTGTGTGGATTGATTCATGGTTGGTGGTAGCGTGGATCGTGAAACATACCTATGTGCCTCCAGTCACCATCCTAAACATACCAAATGATCTCATAGCCAGGCTCTGTGCTACGAAGCTGCATCTGTACTGATCCTTTTGACAGAGATTCTTACCTGCAGGATCTACAGCATACATTTTTGCAGTTACTATACCCATCTGATGTAAGGAAAAATATCAGGAAAGCCAGAACTATACCAAGGAATAACTTGCTATGGTCCAAATGAAACAACAACAGAACCTCACTGGTTGTAGCATACAGATGTCAGCTCAAACTGGTTCAACACATTAATAATAACCTACAACCTATGTGGGACAATGTTACTTCTTTATTGCACACATTAGGAGGCAAACCTTTTCTTGCCCACAGGTAGCCCCCAACCTTAAATCACTTCACACCTATAACGATGCCCTTCCTAAAACGAACATAGACTTTGGGTCTAGGGCCTGCAACAAACCAAGATGCTGATTCTGTCCCCATATTCACTCTGACAACACAATCATCTGATGTAACACCAGACCACACCATCTTAGATTCATTCACATTCATCTTCCAACATTATATATGCCATCAAATGTCAGCAGCATTCTGCTCTTTACAGCACGGGATTGCTGAACTTGTGCCCATTCACGAATTCCAAACAATGTACCCCCTCAGGGCTGAACAGGGACATTGGATTTTTGTCTCACTACAGATGCTAATTTTCTGCCCCTAAGCATTTTTCTTCTGCTCTAATCAAGCTGATTACTGTACCTCTGCATCCTACATTCTTTCTTTGCAACACCAATCTCACCTTCTAATGGGGATCTCTGATGAAGGGAGCAATTATGAAAGCTTATACTGGACTCAAATTATTTTTTAAAAATTCAAAAAATGACACTGCAGACACTGATTCTGGCTAGGGAAAAAAATCTGTATTGTAGAACATGTCTGGTATTTTAACATGTAAAAAGAACAAAAATGGTGTCAAACGGGGAGTGGGTAGCAGAGGAAGCCTCTTAAATGCTGGTAGAAGGTTGACATGAAACTTCCCTGGTGGGTCTTGATGTGCACTCAAGCAAAGCTCTTAACTCAGGCCAAATATTTCAATTCAATTTCAAGCAGAATAAATAAGCAGTAATCTCTTGATTCGGTAGATACCAACTACATCTGATTTCAGCAATGTACAAACAAGTTACTGAAGATGTCGGTCTAGTTAAAAAAAAATCCTAACTTCAATTTAACTTCAGGGAGGAGAAGAAAGAATGGGGCTGAAAGGAAGGGGAACTCATTACCCAAATTGGTACAAGAGTTGGGCCCACAGTATGCAAAGTATTTTCTACGTGTATAGGTTCTGTTTGGTACTGATGAGTCTAGTGTATAGAAGAAGAGATTGGATTTATACCCCGCCCTTCCCTCAGAGTCTCAGAGTGGTTTACAAACTCCTTTCCCTTCCCCTCCCCACAACAGACAACCTGTGAGGTGGTGGGTGGGGCTGAGAGACTCTTTCGAGAACTGCTCTTTCAAGAACAGCTCTGACAGAACTATGGCTTGCCCTAGGTCATCCAGCAGCTGCATGTGGAGGAGTGGGGAATCAAACCCAGTTCTCCCAGATTAGAGAGTCCATGCACTTATCCACGACACCAAACTGGCTCTCCTAAATCCTAGTCTGATAAAGGACTACAGTTGAGAAGGAAAAACAAAAAAGAGATAGTTTTTTAGAGGGTAGCTTTGTCAGATCTGATGAGGGGAGCTTTGACTCTCAAAAGCTTATATCCTGAAACTCTTGTTGGTCTTGAAGGCGTTACAAGAAAGGTAATCTCAAATGAAACACCCCTAACAAGGAACTAAACTATAAACTGTAAACGAAAACTATAAAACTATAATGCAGGGAAAGGAAAAAATGTGCTTCCACACAGTAACACAATCCTAGTAATGCTGCCTTTGATAGTCTGCTGATGAGGGCCGAGGAGTAAATAAAGGGTGAAAACAAAAACTTATGTAGCCTTGTCCTGAAGAGAAAAAGTCCGTTGTGCTGAGGTCTGGCGCAGGAGGAAAACCTGGTCTGGGTCAGGGAATTCCCAGTGTGAGAGAGAGAAAAAATCCAAAACCAGATGAGGATTCAAGTGAGAAGTAAAAATACAGGACCAATGAAGGGAATTCACTGGTTCAGCAAAGAGGGTAAAAGTCAAGAAAATAAGCCAACTGTGACGTTTGGGAAAGAGGTTTAGGTGCAAAACCAGCTACAGAGTTTGTGGGGCTTAGAATGTTCTATTTTTGGCTTGGAAGGATGTGATGCATTAAGATATGCATCTAGGGGGGAGTGGACATCTGAATAAGGGCATATGAGATCAGTAAACAGGATACAGCAGGACAACTCAAGTGTGGTGACAGAAGTATCAGAGTAGTGGACCAGCTTGGCCTGGTCCAATAAAGGCTGAGCAATGGCTTGATGGTATTTCCAAATCTTGGGACTGGGATTCAATTACTGGAGTAAACTGCATTGTGAGGAGGGTTCTGCGGCCTCAGGTTATTATCAAGCAAATGTGAGAATTATTCCT